ACACGGTGATCATCATTGTAAAGGAGAGAATCCCTGATCCCCCCTGAGCAGAGTAGTGCATTGCTGCTATGGACACTACTCTGAGGGAAAAAAAGAAATGTTTTAAATAATTGAAAATGTTTTTATTGTTTTTTTGGTTTGGTTTGTTATCATATAGACACCAGTCAGGTCCCTGATCACCGCCACATCAGTCACATGATGATGCTGTACTGCGCTGGTGAGTTTGTAGAAAAAAACGTGAAAAATATATTTATTTTATTATTCTTTATTTTCCCAAAAATTGTGACCAAAAACTGACAATATCTCAAAAAAACTAGGATTTATTTTTACCGAAGACATGTTGTAGAATACGTTTTGTCTGAAATTTATGAGGAAATAGTTTTTTTTCTTTATTGGATATGTTTTATAACAGAAAATATTGGGGGGTTCTTAAGTGTTCATTTTTTTCATTTATATAATAAAAATAAGAACCCGTGGTGATCAAATAACACCAAAACAAAGCTCATATTTATGTGAAACAAATTATATATATTTCATTTGCACACATTGTTGCATGACTGAGCAATTACCAAGTAGCGTAGTGCCAAATAGCAAAAAATGGCCTGGTCATCAAGGGGGTAAAAATCTTCCGGAGCTTAAACCCCTCGCCTACCGGGCACTTCTACCTTCTTCCTGCCCAGGCCAATCTTCAGCTTTCAGCACTGTCACACTTTGAATGACAATTGCGCGGTCATGCAACACTACCCTTATGACATTTTTATCCTTTTTTTCACACAAATAGAGATATTCTTTTGGTAGTATTTAATTGCCACTGGGTGTGTATTTTATTTTTTGTGCTATAAACAAAAAAGGAGAACATTTGAAGAAAAAAAAAAAAGTTTTCTTTGTTTCTATTATAAAATTTTACAAACAGGTAATTTTTCTCCTCCACTGATGTGTGTTGATGAGGCTGCACTGATGGGCACTGATAGGTGGCACTGATGGGTGGCACTACTAGGCACTGATGGGCACAGTTGGGTGGCACTGATTGGGCACAGGTGTGCGGCAACTGGTGGGCACAGGTGGGCGGCACTGATGGGCAATGATCAGGGCATTGATCATTAGTTCCCTGGTGATCAGTACCAATCCATCCTCTGACAACTGCAAGTTATCGGCCCAGTAACTGTGACAGTGTGAGGAAAGTGCAGCTGATAATCGGCAACTGAATTTGCTGTCATTGGACACGGCTGATCACATGGTAAAAGGTCGCTTTGATTGGCCTTTTACCATATCACGTGATCAGCTGTGTCCGTAGGATGCAGAGATTGCTGGGTGCGGTCCCTGGGGGTGTATGTGCGGGAGGGCGTGTCTCTGTGAGAGGACGTCATGTGATGCCCCCCAGGACTGGACAACCGTGCTGTAGCCATCATTCAGTTTATAGCGCGGTTGGCAAGCGGTAAAAGTGGATCTGCACTTCATCTGAAACACCACAAACCAAAAATACTATTTAATTCATTGGTAATATTCAAAGCAAAACTCCCCCATCCATCCATTCCACCCACTCATCCATCCATTCGTGTCTTCAGGATTTACTTTGCTGAGAAATCATTTGAAAAACATCCCCCCAGCATTTTCTGTCAGTAGCCATGTTGAGTAAGGGCAGGTGATTCCTGTAGCATTTACTTTCTGGAATCCATCAGCCCTTAGCTTAGGCATTGGCTGAGCTGATAACCCTCCCTCCCCTCCTGAAGACTGTTGGGGTGTATGACATCATTTGCCTAGGCAGGAAACCAGGAAGTGAGTGAAGACATGTAAATAAAAAAAATTCAGAACAAATAAATACAATCTACTTTCCTATCTATATACCGATGCTAGCAGTGTAAGGACTAGAAATAGTCAATGCTGATTGGAGAGTGAAGTTCCACCTTAAGAGGTTAAAGTGATTTCCTGTAATCTTCAGCTCACCATCTAGTGCCATAATGCTGTATCTTCCCTGAAATACCTCCTGATGTAAAAATAGTGCAATACAATAATATGGCCACTAGATGGAGCCAATGATGATGTGAAATAAAATAGGGCCAAAACCCGTCCCAGCTGGGTGAACACGGCTCACATTCATTCAGCTCATTGTTTTATAGAACAGACCTCTAAGTGTTTGTGAAATCTCCAGCCACAAAATGTACTCAGCCAATCACAGGGCAGGACTCCATTTTTATTCTTCTCCTGCCATCAATGGCCGACCCGGTCCCACACTTCATCCATGAGAAGGAAATAAACCACGCTAGGACTCCGTGTACGGACTATGACTTCCTCTACAGGGGCAAACATGGAACACATGACCCTACACATACGTGATCCCACTGCCGCCATCTTGGATTCTGGAATGCGAGTTGTTTATATGATATGAAGAGCCTGATTGTTTATCTTTTCATTGTAAGTCCATTTACCACATTAACCCCTAATTCCCCTCCAGAGGATTTACCCCCCCTTCCTGACTAGGCCAATTTACCATATTAACCCCCTCCCCCTCCAGAGGATTTACCCCCCCCTTCCTGACCAGGCCATTTACCATATTAACCCCTCCCCCTCCAGAGGATTTACCCCCCTTCCTGACTAGGCCATTTACCATATTAACCCCTCCCCCTCCAGAGGATTTACCCCCCCTTCCTGACTAGGCCATTTACCATATTAACCCCTCCCCCTCCAGAGGATTTACCCCCCCCTTCCTGACCAGGCCATTTACCATATTAACCCCTCCCCCTCCAGAGGATTTACCCCCCCTTCCTGACCAGGCCATTTACCATATTAACCCCTCCCCCCCCCCCCAGAGGATTTACCCCCCCCTTCCTGACCAGGCCATTTACCATATTAACCCCTCCCCCCCCAGAGGATTTACCCCCCCCTTTCCTGACCAGGCCATTTACCATATTAACCCCTCCCCCTCCCAGAGGATTTACCCCCCTTCCTGACCAGGCCATTTACCACATTAACCCCTCCCCCTCCAGAGGATTTACCCCCCCCTTTCCTGACCAGACCATTTACCACATTAACCCCTCCCCCCAGAGGATTTACCCCCCCCCCTTCCTGACCAGACCATTTACCACATTAACCCCTCCCCCTCCAGAGGATTACCCCCCCCCCCCCTTCCTGACCAGACCATTTACCACATTAACCCCTCCAGAGGATTTACCCCCCCTTCCTGACCAGACTATTTACCACATTAACTCCTCCCCCTCCAGAGGATTTACCCCCCCCCTTCCTGACCAGGCCATTTACATTAACCCCTCTGGAGGATTTACCCCCCCCCTTCCTGACCAGGCCATTTACATTAACCCCTCTGGAGGATTTACCCCCCCCCCCTCCTTCCTGACCAGGCCATTTTCTTGCAATACGGCATTGCGTTACTTTCACTGGCAGTTGCACGGTCATGCAAAGCCACACCCAAATTAAATTTACATCCTCTTTTGCCCACAATTGGATCTTTCTTTCGGTGGTATTTGATCACCTGTGCGTGTTTTATTTTTTGTGCTATAAACAAAAAAGGCCAACAATTTTGAGAAAAAAAACAATATTTTGAACTTTTTGCTATTAAACATGTTCAATAAAAAAAAAACAAATTTCGTCATAAATTTCAGCCAAAATGTATTCTGCTTCGTGTCTTTGCTAAAAAAATCACATTCTGTGTAAATTAATTGGCTTACATGAAAGTTATACAAATAGTTTACAAATGGCGGTATAGATACTGGAATTTTTTTCATCCTAGTAATGGCGGTGATCGCCGACTTAAAGCGGGACTGCAGCTGGCATTCTTACACTGGGGGGGGGAACTGACTTGGTGTCACTGACATCTTCAGTGGCACCAATACAGTGATCAATGCTAATAAAAAGCATTGACATTGTACTATTTACACTGGGCAGGAAGGGGTTAACATGAGGGCCCATCAAAGGGTTAACTGTGTGCTGTGTTTCACTGTACGCATGCTGCTATGCAGAGCCATACAAAGCAGTGTGCGGGAGCTGACAAGGTAGAGATGTGTGTTGTTTATACACAGATCTCTCCCCCATTGGAGATACTCGATGATCACCGGATGCCGGAGAGTAATCACCATTCGGGACCCGGTCATTGACAGCCAAGGCCATGAATGGCGGCGCAGGTAGAGCGTGTGCCTCCCACCGGAACTAAAACACCACATATATATAGCTGATTTAGCGCAGCCCTGCCGCAGGGCCATACAAAGCAGTGTGCGGGAGCTGACAAGGTAGAGATGTGTGTTGTTTATACACAGGTCTCTCCTCCATTGGAGATACTCGATGATCACCGGATGCCGGAGAGTAATCACCGTTCGGGACCCGGTCATTGACAGCCAAGGCCATGAATGGCAGCGCAGGTAGAGCGTGTGCCTCCTACCCGGAACTACAACACCACATATATATAGCTGATTTAGCGCAGCCCTGCCACCCTGTAGCAGTATTTCTTCTATAGGGGGAGGTGAGCGGATGTTTTATCGGGATGACACCATGGAGAGCGTCTTTTCCTTTGTCATTCTACTATGTCACATCTGAGTCTATCTGCACAGCGATCTGATGGGATGCAGCACTGCCATCGTCTCACATGGGAGTGGGAGGAAAGCTGGAGATCTCGGATTGATAGACAAGTGCTGGGTGGCCTCTCTGAATTGGGGGCATAGGATTCTGGGAAGCCCCCCAGAGTTGTACCCCGAGGTGCTGTGTGCTTCATCATGAAGAAGTGTTGGTGACATCCACATCTGTCATTTCCCTCATCATCAGAGAACCACACAATTCAGTTTTTGGCTTCACGTTTGCTTGTCTTATGATATCTGAGGTGTATATCAGGGTGTGCTTCTTCCCCACATGAGAGCTGGGATGTCCCAGCTCTCATGTGAGGAAGATATTTCCCTGTCTAGAAGACATTTCCCGCACTCAAGGCACTAATACACCACCAGGGTTGTGTGGGACCCCTGATGTACAGGAAGACAGGACTTCAGTGAGGAATATTTCCCTCACTCAGGACAGGAAAGTAGCTTCTCCCCAGTGTGAAATCTCTGATGGCTGGAAAGAACAGGAAAACAGATTTTCACCTGCATGAGACCTCAGATGTTTGACAAGTTTTGATTTTTCTACAAAACATTTCCCGCACTCAGGACAGGAATGCGGCTTCTCACCCTTGTGAGATCTCTGATGTCTAGAAAAACTGGACTTCGCTGAAAAACATATCCCGCACTCAGGACAGGAATACGGCTTCTCGCCCGTGTGCAAACTATGATGTTTGTAAAGATGAGACTTCTGTGAAAAACATTTCCCGCACTCAGGACAGGAATATGGCTTCTCACCCGTGTGAGATCTCTGATGTCTGTAAAGATGGGACTTCTCTGAAAAACATTTCCCACACTCAGGACAGGAATATGGCTTCTCCCCGTGTGAGATCTTTCATGCACATTAAGACCAGATTTAGAACAGAACCTCTTCCCGCACTCAGTACAGGAGAACCTCTTCCCTGTTGGAAGGCCGGCCCAGTCCCGCACAGTCTGAGGTTCCTCAGGATACGAGGAATCCGATGA